TGCCCCTCACCTGAAACCCTCACCAAGGTGAAGTGCAGGAGTACCTGGGCTGACAAACTTATTTCAGTTGGAACCTCAACGTGACATTGATATTGACACCTGGGTTCTTCAAACGAGTACCATTAACACCTCACCAAAAATCTGCCCTGCAGCACGTGCTCAGCAGAGTCACCTGACCATACTCGGAGGTCTACCAGCCAAGAATTTACTCTCGATTTGCCTTAGCTTGTAGATCTGATGTTCTCAGAAGATATTACTGCCTCCAGCTGGGTTCCTGATGCCTGGAGCAAGCAGCACACTCTCTGTACTGCTGTGGGATGGTGCTTGTGGACCCACAGCACGAGCACTGCAGTGGGCAAAGTCTGGGTTTTACAAGAAATGGGGTAAGCTCTCAGATTCCCCCGAATCTGTGGGGAAATCCCACTGAGAAGATGATTAGCTCCGTTCTTTCACCTACTGTGCTGTAAAAACAGGCAGTGACCCTGATTATCCGAAAATGCAAATGCCCCTCTTTGTTTCCAAGGGTTATTCTGTGCTCTCAGGCTCCTGCAATCCCCCGAGGCTGTGCCTACATGCGTGAATAGGATGGGGAAACATGGCAGGGCCACGTCAATCTTGTCAGCAAGATGCAGTAAAACAGGTTTCAACACTCCAGAGAACCACGGGAGGCACCGGCAGTCCCTGTTCCCTGGTCAGCTCTGCCCCTGCCAGCTGGCACAGGAGCACTGACGGGCAGCCCCAGCTCTGCTGGGCACACATGCTGGGAGAGCTTCAGGTGCTGAAGGGTGAGAAGTCAGAAAGAAGCTGCTGCATGTCTGGGTCGGGGTTTACATGACATAGTTTGCTGTGAGCTCAAGTGATCAGGCAGGAATAAATTAGCAGGAAAATCCAGTGATTCAGAGGGTGTTTCATGACAGGCCAAAGCAGCTCATGCTGGCTGATGATTTAACCCCTGCTGGGTGTTCATGGGCATGTTTGGTGCCAGCGTCCTTCTCAGCTCAGGGACGGGATGATCCTGAGTGAATCTATGCGTCCCTCCTTCTAAAGGCTTGTCTGGGCTGAAGGCATCTGCTTTGGGGAAGCTGTGCACAATGCAGAGGGGAATACACAGGGCAGGGAGAAGGGCATGAAGGAGCTGGCTCACAGCATGGGGCTGAAGAGCTCTCCTGGGGTGGGAAATCCTCCCAGCTCACACTAAGGTCACTTCTCTAAATCTGAGCAGATATTTCATTTTCCAAAGTGAAAATATTACTGGGAAATGGTGTTTTAAGAATGGAGTCTCCTTCCTGGGAGAACCTCTAATTCCCTGACACCCCTGGCTGGCAGCTTCTAGGAATATAAACAAATATCCCTGTCCTGCATGGGACCAGATCTGGACAGAGCTGGGTATCAGGAAGGTATCAGGAAGGGAACTGAATGGTCCTGCAGGCTGCAAACACTAATTCTTGGGGGGACATGACAAGTGGCCTAATGGAGAGGGGCACTCCAGGAGCCTTCTGTTTCTAGATGCTTAGAAATGGAAAAAGTACCCTGGATTAACCTGTGGCTAAGGATGGACTGGAGATCCACAAGGGACCTGTTTTCAAGGGAACTTTAGACCTGTTTCCATTGCTCTAATCGATAACAAGCACAGTGCTGGAAGCACAACCCGATGCCATCATCCCTCTGCCATGTCAGCACAGGCAGTGGAAGTTCTCAGTGGGACCTGGACTATCTGCAAAGATCCTGCACACTTGGCTGCCTGTGGCCTGCAAAGGGCTGATGGGTTTTTGTTGTTTTTGTTAAGTCAAGACAAATAAAATTCTCTTGTTACTTTACTATTTCTAGGAGACACCACACTGAATTCTATTCCCAGTTCCCACGCTGACACTGAAGGAAGCTAAAGGGCAACAACCAAGAGGCAAAATCTGGAACAATCAACGCAAAAGGAAAACAACAGCAACCAGCTCTTTTCTGTCTGTGAGGTGCAGAGCCAACGGTACCCATTTACTGTATAGCTAATGGACTTAAAGAAGGCCAAAAATTGGTTTAATGCTGTCTTAAGGCACCTGGTCTAATGACATTATGTTTTGCCCAATCCAATAAGTAGTGCAAATCCTGGGCTGCTGCTGCAATCTGCCCTCGTGCACCATTAACTGGGTCTGGCAGGGAGTCTGGCCCTGCACACATCATGTGCAGCCATGAGTGTCAGGAGGGGCTGCTTCCAGGGGACCCCACAGAGAACCCTCAGGTGGGGATCAAAAACTTCTCAAAGAGTTGTGCTCTCAGTCACCTGTATAAAGGTTCTGTTAGTTTAAAAAGCAGAGTTTTAAGGCTCCTTCTGCTGCTCTCAGCTACTCCCAGTGCCTCTCCCTCGCCTGCTGCAGCCAGCAGTGGTTTAAACGCCTCCTCTTCAAACACATGCCAGCCAGCTCGAGAGCAATACTTCTGGGAGGTGTGGTACAACAGTGCATGAAATAAGCAGCAGTTTATACTATTTGAAAAATGTTTTTCTGCTTCACCTCTAACAAAGTTGATTGCATTTTCCATTTCACCTCCTTCACGGCTTTTCTCTCTTCCTTAAGTGTTCTGTGACAGGGGAATTACCATGGTTTCCCATTTAAGAGGTGGAGGGAACAGCTGAGATAATCCAGAAACAAGTCTGTAATAGGCACCCACTGACACGGGAGCAGAGCTCGCGACACGTCGGGCCAGGCTGTGGAGCTGTCAGGCCCTGCTGTAGCCACTGAGACCATCCTGCAAAGCCTGCATTTAAGTGAATTAATAGTTCCATTGAAGTATTCCCTCTCCTGAAGGGCTTCACTGCTTTCCAGGTATAACTGATGCTCCAAAACCCACCTAAAGCTCTTTCTGATGCTCCTGTCATGCCGTGGGAGGGCAGAGGCAGCAACCCCTGGCACGGGCACACCTCTCTGCCTGCTCCCAAGCCTGAGCCCTAAGTGCCTGCCAAGGTCTTGGCAAAAAAAATGTTGTCAATATCTGTAAAATGCATATGGCAAGATTCAAAAAATCAGTCACTAAAAGCCAGCTCTCAGGAATTTCCTCCTACCTCCCCCTTCTGAGCAGTGCCAGCAGCTCCCTGCTCCAGCAGCCTCTAGGCCTGGGCACAAGACAAACCACAGAGTAACAAAACGAAGGGTTTTCAGCAAAACCTTCAGTGTCAATCTCTTAATCAATCTGAGTGAGACTAGGCTACGATCACCACAGTGCAGGACAAAGCAAACAGAGCTACCGTTTTAATGACCCTATTTGTTGTTTTTCAGATTCTGTGTCTTAAAAACAACCAGGCTGTGCTTAGCTTGGTGCTGGGATGTGACTGAACTTCTGTCTGACTTGAGGACTTAATCTCATAAAAAGAACTGCCAGTGCTACAGCCTAAGCTCGTTCTTCACTAAAGAAATGCTGACTGGTGCTTTAGGAGCTAATGAGTTTTATAGTCCAAGAAGCCTAAGATAACAACCCCTCTTTTTTCATCTCAGAGAGAAAGAGAGAGAAAGACAAAGAGAGTAGACAGAGAGCAATTGCTGTGTAAGACATAAGTCCTGTTGGGCATATTGTATTTGTCAGGATGCAAGTCCAGTGATTTACGTGGGAGTAACGGAAGGCATGCTCAGGCACCTCTGAACTGTGTCCCTCAATGGCTGAACAGTACAATTATTAATTAATATCTTAATTAATTAATAATATAATTAATTGAACAGCAAGTAATAATTTAAACTGGTTTTGTCATGGCAATCATGCAAGTCTGATTCTCTAATTTTCCAGTTGCCACAACCCCTGTGATTGGTTCCGTGCTGAGGGACGAACATGCAGGTGAGGGGGACTCTGTGACCACGAGCTGGTGACAATGGCCACTCCTGCCTGAAGCACAGGTACCCTGTGTGAGGTACCTGGGCCTGGTTTTGGGGTGTGCACACGCTGAGCTCAGAAAATCTGGCCAGGAGAGTTTTTAGAGAACATCTTAGAAGACGACATAGGAAGTTAGTAGAGAGGAGAAGACTAATGACAATGGAGAGACACAGCAAACCAAGGAGTTTACAGTTGGCCTGGCAAACCACTCCTGGACCAGCAAAGCCAGTACACAACAACAGGTGAGCCAGAAAGCAAAGAGCTCCTTCAATTCCTGAACTAAAACCCCACTGCCTGCGCACAGCAGGGACAAACCTGCCTGGGGCTGACTCGAGCCCAGGCAGTGACGAGTTCTCTCAACACCCGTTTATAGGCCTGGTTGTGCCATGGAACTTTGGTACTGAATCGATATGTCTATGACATAGTGAAGCTTTGGAGAACTTGAAAGATGACCTCTCTGACTTTCCCTCTGTGTTCAGTATTTCCAAACCTGTAGCTGCAAGAGTTATTGCCAGAGATAATAAACACTGGCCTTTGCCAGTTGTGACTCTGCCTAATACCTGGCATGGCATTGATTAGTTGGCTGTACCCTGCCTGGGTGGGGAAATGAATCTGACATTCAAGAAATATAATGTCTTTACTAAAACACTTTATTTCCTAGAGCTGATGCTACTATGCTGTCCTTAAAAAGTTACAGGCAGCCCCAGGAAACAAGAGTGTCCCCTTTCCAGAAGCAGGAAAGGGGTAGCTCCCTCCCCAGTTCCAGCATTTTAGTCATCCTTCTTTTTTTGCTTAATGGGAGACTTTGGGAATTAGCAGAACCCCTACGCACCTCCGCACTCACTCCCGTTTCAGCCTGAGATAAACAACTGAGATAGATTTCTGCCCCCAGGGACAGCTTCTGGACATCAGACTGCAGACACGAGATCAAATTCATCTCTGGTGCCATTCCACTGGCTTCAAGCACATTCGACCAGAGATTAATTTGGCCCACAGATACATTAAGAAAGGATACAAAGCACAAATGGTATTTTATAAAAAAAGAGCAGGGGAGGGGGAAGTTCAAGGGGACGCTGGATCCTAACCCAGCAGGATTCAGCCCAGCCCGCTCCACCCTCACATCACCAGGCACAGAGCGTGTTGCCGGTTACCTTTTTGCTTACTGACTTTCTTTACTGTCATTGCCGCTTGCCGCTTTTGATTTTCAGAAATTTCAAAGCCTGGAAAAGGGAACACGGCAAACACAATTCAGAAGGTTGCTTACAAAGCCTGGGGGTTTTTTTTTTGGGGTGGGGGGATGCCCTGCACTGTTGGGCAAACACAGAAGGCCCCAAGCGGGCAAGGATGGCCCGGTGAGCTGAGGGTATGGGTGTGTTCTACTGAAAAGCAGCTCTTCCTTGAAGGACAGGCCTCTTTATAATCTCACTTGTGCAGGGGCTGTATGAAAAGTAAGATTAGACCCATTATTATTTATACAGTAGCATAAATATGCCCCGTGCTTTACAGCTGAGCACCAAACTGAGCCTGAACTGCCACTGGTTACAGTCAATGGATGGGCTGATGTGAGGGGAGGGCACGGCTGGGAAGTCACTGACCGCTGCCCTCCCACGCTGCACGAGATATAACCAGAGCAGAATGGTGCAGCCAGGAGACACTGAAGTCAGATGGCCAAAGACTTCCTTCTCCCATATACTCATGGAGGTCCAGGCTTGAAGCTATGGGCAGAATTTGTTTATTGAGGGCCAAAAATAACAGTAACTGAATTGGAAAGAGACCTGTTTATGATTATGAGAGCAACCAAGGACATTTCAGTAAGACTGAACTGTAATTCTACTACATAAAAATGTCGGCTTCTCCACCCATTGGGGCTAAATTAAACATTATCAACAATCTCCTTTCAGATTCATTTCCATATTCCTCACCTATCTTTTCATCTTCTTTTACCATCTTCCTTTCTTCTCTGAAAGCTCTAAGCCATCGTAACTTCTCCTCCAGTTTCTTGGCAAAGAATAAGTGCATTTCCTCAGTCTCCTTGTTATGAAGTTTGAAGGCATTCTTCATGCTGACATTGAAGTCATCATCTCTCCCATCGTCTATATCCACCACTTCATATTTATCCATGTCTATGCGCCCTTTGTAATACAGAATATCTCTTCTTATCAGATCCTACAGAGACAAAAGGAGAAAGGGTTGATTGTAGGATGCTTATAGAGCCTGAGCTCAGCAGGAAATTCCTGGGAGAGCTGAAGAAAACAAAGAAATAATGGTGCAACCTGGCCAGGTTCTTCAAGCCTCACCTGTTGTGAACACATTTCTTGCAAACAGGGTAGATCACGGGCAGAGAAGAACAAAATACACCTCCTTGTGCTGCAAAATTCAGCTTGTGGGCATGAAGAAATGCCTCTGAGTAGGAAACATGTTTCCATCATTTCCCATGATGGGAGGTTCTGTTCCATGGGACGAGAACCATAAGACACAGGCCACTGGCCTGACGGAATTCCTGTGCTGCCAGCCAGGTGTACAAACAAAATGCAGCCATGTTTGGCAGTGCAGACTGGGTAGTACAGATCTGTTTTCCAAACACATTCCCAGAGCCAGGGGAGACAGATCTCAGCCCCTTCTCCTTGGAACCCATTTCCCATTCACAAACAGCTCACTGGTGAGAAATCACCCCAATCCTCAGGCCAAAGCACTCCTAACCTATCTCTGTCTCATTACACCCTGGATTTAACCTCTTGATCCAGCTTAATATTTTCTTTTTCCCTCCTTGATATTTATAACCTTTTCAACCAAACCTGTTCATGTTCATCTCCTTCCTCAGTTGGTTACTCCTTTTTCTTGAGCAGCAGCTTATTTCTCTGTGTTGGGAAGGGAAAAGTAAATTTTGTACTGCCTTTACTAGAACTACTCTTGATTTATACTGATTTAAGAGGAGCATTGGCCCCACATCTCTATGTCTTTACAGGAGAAGATAACAAAAGATGATCCTCAGAAAAAAATGTTAATTCTATAGTCATGACCACACAAAGTGATTCAAGTTTCAAGGCACACATATTTAGAACACCAAACTCAGCAACACACAATCAAGATTTCCTTCCTCTAACCACTCTCAAAAGCCAATATTTAGGTATATTAAATCAATTTAACCTAAGTACCTTTGGATTTTTGAGATAAAGATAAATCTAAAGATGAATGTCTGTCAAAGGATTCATTTAAGAAGAAAAATGAAAGCAATGTACAGCATTTATTTACTCAAATAATATTTAGCAGCGAGGTTTTTTAAAGATAGGAAGTAGGTATAATTTTAAAAAAATTAATCTTGAAAAATAAACTCTACACCATAATTTATTTAGCAAACTTGCACCTTGCTCATGGATCTGCCAGACAGTATTAATTCTCATTAGACAGGGCACTGGCGAGAAGCTTTAAATCCTGACTCCTTCCTCTGGAATGTTCTGGGCAGGGGGGAAATTCCATTAACAAATCTCTAGTAGAAACACCTTCCTCTAGTGCAGGCTCTGAGCAGTGATGCTGTCCAATACACAAAAAAAGGGTATTTCAGGCAGAATAGGCAACAGAATATCTTTTCTGTTTTGTCCTAACTTGGAAAATAGCTTCTTTCCCTCTGTGCCTGGGAAAGGCTGTAAGTGTCACCCAGGACCTGATCAATCCAATCAATACCACACACTGTGTTTAATGTGAGTCTGGGGCTCATCTGTATAAATAACATTTATCTCCACCACACTCTCAAAAAAACCTGATCCCAAATCTCACAGGAACCAAGATGCACTCCTTAAGTTAGCTGTACAACAGCCACTCTCCTTCCCACTGATCCTGAGGACTTGCAGAACACCACCCAAACAGACCGTGCTCGTGATGACACGGGTGAAGAGGAATCCACAGAACTTTTCCAGGCAACTCTCATGATTGTGTAGGTTTGTTTGTGAAGGTATTACAAGAATAAAGAATCACAGTCTTCCTTCTCATCAGGGTCTGTGTGTTGGCCTTTTCCCTACACACACTCAATACATTTTTCCCCTTTTATCTCTCTGATTTTGACTCAGAAAACATTATGAGCTATTTTTAACAGCTAATGCCAAGCGAATGCTTTAACAGCTTTGTGCAGAGGACAGTCCCTGGGTTTGGAGGTGTCTGCTTGAGCTGCTCCATACGTTTCCTCTCCCAGGCCGAGGCTCTTGCAGAGCATCTCCAAGGCTCCTGAGCTCCGCAGGTGCTGCTGAGCACTGGATGTGAAGGCAACGGCGCTGCCTGGGAGCTACTGCAGGAGCAGCGAGGAGATACCGGAATCCTGCAAGGGCTTCTGGAAATAAAATGGCCCCACAGAATATTATGGTTGGCGAAATGCAATAGTTCAGCTGCTGAGCCCACAGAGAACGTGAGGAAGAAACGCCGTGGTTTGCCCTTGAGAGCTGAGCAAGCGCAGGGGAAAGGAGGGAAAGACAACAAGCACAAAGCTCCTGTCTGCCACTTTACTGCCATTGGAGGAGAAGGCTCAATAATGACTCTAGAAGAAATGGATCATCTCTTCTCCCATCACCCTCCCGATACCCCACAGTGCATATCCTTCCTACTTCCACAAAAGAAGGACATTCCTCACTCACTGACCACAAACTCCAGCAGTGGTACCCCAAATTTATAAGAGACCCTTTACTTCTCCCAGAGTGGTGGAGCACATAAACATCTCTGTGAGCAGCACATGCCTGCCCATGGAAGACACCTTGTACGTACCTGGTTCCAGAAAGTTCAGTCCATAGAGCAGATTAACAACTGTAACTGGATAATGTAATTTTTAATATCTGGGCATTTCTATTATCACTTCTCCCTTCTTCTTGCCAACACTCAATAAATGGATATTATTTCCCAACTGACTAAATTTTAATACCCATAGTACGGGATGCATAATAATTATTTGATCCATGGATATTTTACCACTTATGTTCCTACAGCTCTTAAAGAATAACAGATATTACTCAGGTCCTTAGTGAACCATGAGCCTCTTCAAATGGCTTACACTGTAATTGAGTTCAATAAAATTTAGGTATTCATCTGGGCTATGTGAGAGACAGCAAACGAGGCCAAAGACTTGTTTTAAGGAGCTTTTTATGCACGTAGACAAGAGAATAGGAATTGAGGGAACACACAGGCCGTGAGGTGATGCTGCTTGTGTGCTCTCTGCCATGTGCAGCCAGGAACCTGGAGCAGTGCTGAGAAATGATCCCAGTGCTCTCCACACTGTTTTGTCCAGCACAGGACTATCCTTTCTCCCAGCACGTCCGTGGAGACAAACAAGCAAACAGAAGATAAAGGAAAGCAGCTGTGTGGCCGAGGAGCAAAATGGATCATTCAACCAGCCCAGTGTAAGAGCTGCATGGCAGGAGGACAGAGCAGACAGTACACACAAAATGAGATTCATCTGCTACGGTAGCAGCCACACTGTGGAAAGGAGCTCTGGCTTTGTGGGGCATAGAAATGGCAGCTGGGCAGGCTGCTGCTCCTGCTCCTGATTATCCCAGGGATAACATATTAAGAAGAAATGATTAAGCTCTAAAATGTACCTTCATGTACATGCTGGCTGTATCAGTATGGTATTGCCTGTTATCCTGCCCACAGTTCAGTCAGCGTGACGACTGGCTGGTTTACACTGCCCAGTTCTGAATGTCACACAAAATTATTTCTTGTAGTTAAATCAGGCAAGAGCAAGAAAACATAAAAAGACAAAAAAAGACCAAAAAAAGGACTCTCAAAACCTCATCAGTGGGGAAAGGACATAGAAATGGAGTTGTTTAACCTAGAAAGATAATAACTAATAACTAAAAAGGAATGTGTTGTTGGTATTCCAGTAGGTGAAAGCTGCTGCTCTTCTATGGAGCCTGGTGATCAATTTTTCTCCATTTTGATTGTGGTTTGGCTCAATTTACCACCAGGGAGAACAGCATTAGAATCTTGTGACAAAAATCTTTCTAGCTATAAGAGTAGTTAAACTGTAGAACAGACAAAATAGGGAAGTCTTGGGATGGCATTCCTGGGGGATTTTCAAAAGAAGGTTAGACAAACATCCATCAGAGATGATCTGAGTATACTTAATCCTGCAAAGGGAATAGCTGATCTCCTGGGGTCCTTCCCAGCTCTGCATTTTGATGGTGTCTGAGAGGAAGGTGACAGATGGAGGAGGGATGGGTGAGAGCAGGTGGGATTACACGGACTGGAGGGGCGGTGTGGGAGAGCCCCAAGGCAGCAGGAGCCACAGCGACACGGACCTGCAGTCTCTGCAGAGCATCCAGACTGCCTTGCCTGGCTCTGAAGGCAATTGATGCATCTGGGTCATTTGCACTTATTTGTCTAAATATGATCTTTTTTTACCCTACAGCTTCTATGATTTCCTTTTCTTTCCCTCACTGAGGTTAATTAAGCTCTTCTGAATAATGCTCTGCAGTCTGTTCACGTAATCTGTACTAAGGATTCACAAGGAAAAGATGAAGCCAAAAAAAGTGGTGTTTGACGGGAGCACAAAACAAAGTTCCGACACATTATGTAAGCTTCCCCCCCCTCCCCAGTTCTGCTCTCCGAGGGCTGTGTTGGTGTTTGCAGCTCGAGCAGCTTGTGCTGAGCTCGGGGCTGGACCTGCCTGTGGGACTGCCTGGGCCATTCCCTCCTGCTCCCACACCTTGCCCCTCTCTGAAGGGGGGAAGGTCACTTCAAAAGAAAAAAATCTGCTTTGTGACCATCAGAAGAAAACCAAGGCTGAGCTCTGTTGGAAAACCTGGAGATCTGAATCTGGAATGTGGCTTCCACAATGAATTACACACCTATTGAAGTGGATATAGATACCTGCAGAAAGGACTGCACCCGTAAATAAGAGTGTTCAGTGGCTCTTACTATTGCATTGACTTCTACTTGTCTTCAGTACTGCTTCCTCCTGCTCTCTAGCTTTAGTCCATCACTTTTTTCTGCCACAGCTGCCCGAGCCAGGCACAGCCTTTGCACGCTGTGGGTGTGCAAGACCCCGTACGAGTCACACCTCTGCAGGAGAAAGAACATTCATCACAAGGAGAGCAACCTGCAGTCACTTGTGCAATGTGACATCAGAACTGAAAGCTATTCAAGAGTTTAAGCAGCGCAGGGCACATAAGGAGGAAATTTCCCCC